AAATTTTATTTAAATAAAATCGGTCTGGACCGAAATCGGTTGAACTGGCCCCAAACCGCTGGTTCGGTGAACCGGCCCGTGCATTATGTCCGGACCGGTTCAGGTTCCGCCAAACCTCGTCCCAAAACCAGGGTTTGGCCATGTCTAAGTTATGGTGTCAATGCATTTTCACAATTTATTTATCTATTTATTTATTATTATTATTATTATTATTATTGTTATTATTATATTTTGTTATACATTAGGTGAGGGAGGATAATGGAAATTACAAAAATTTTAGCTCTGTTTAAGCTTATCTAACAGCAGAGTTATGGGGAACGTCTATAAGCAGATACAAAATAAAAATATGGAAGTTATACGTAATTTTAAAAATATCACACGTTTCATTAAATACATGGATTTGCCACAAATACTCCTTGAAAACAGTAATTAAAGGAAGCAGAAAGCATTATTGAATTTTGAAAACGTAACGTACATAGTTTTTGTATTGATAGAATACTATTTAACTATCCAGGCATTGTTTTGTTGGCCAGTTGAATGAAAGCTGGAAATTGATGTATTCTTGTTCATTTGTGAAACTCCATGATCCAAATATTATAAGCAGAGCAAACTTTGATGATTTTGTTAAAGCTAGCATAATCGGCTAAGGCCTGAAATTCCTTGTATGTCCTCTCTTTGCCACCAGAATTATAGGCTAACATCAACATATCGAAAACAGCCGCCGGCACGTAGGCCGACCCACTATTGGGTCCTCTGGGAGAATAATGTCTGCAACTATCACTTTGCCATCATGTGGAAGGGCTTCACAGCAATTCTTCAATACTTTCTGGCAGTGTGCATCACTCCAGTCATGACAAATCCACTACATAATTTCGTCATTAGATTCTAATGTCAACTTACTTACGATAACAAGAGAATAAAATTTTTGCCTATATTTTCATGCATGTGATATTTCGTCGGTGAAAGTATCAATAGAATACTGATTTTTCCAATCCGGATCCCACAGAAAGAAGAAAAAAATAATAATAATGACAAGATACGTGATAAAAATTGAAAATTCAGTATAACTTTTCCATCAATTAATATTCAGTTAAGAATAGTATATAATAGTATTGCATTAACTGATCAATTTCTATATATATATATATATAAATAAGGGATCATATAAGAATGGTAGATAGTGAAAGAAATAAGAATGATTTTGAACTTTTAGATTCATCAAGTTAATGGTTATGATCAAGTCAAATTATGATTAATCATTAATGTCAGTATGGTAAATTATGGTCAAATATACCTATTTGACTAATTACAACTCATAAGATGGGACCCACCACTAACCACTCCAATTTCTCTCTCCCTAATTCTCTCTCACACGCACAGAACACCTCATCACACACGCACAACACACCTGCTCACACACACCAAGAATTGCACCCAAAATTTGGCCAGACGGAGGAGAATTGGCGCGGCGGCAACGGAGGGGAAGCGACGTGACGACGGCGGAGCGAGATGTCACGATGGCGGACGGACTCTAGACGACGAGCGTGGCGGCGGACGGACGTGAATCGAGAGGCGGCGGACGGAGGTGAATTGAGCGACGGCGGCCGGAGACAAATCGAGCGGCGGCAGACGGAGAAGATGCAATTAGGCGACTGAGTGAGGCGAGACGAGCGGCGAAGGACGTACGGGAGACAATCAGCGACGAAACCTTGTAGACGACTACCAATGGAGATGTTTGGTATTCTTGTTCCGACAGGTCTCGGAGGCGGTGGCGACGGTGTGTTGAGTGGAGCGGGGCTGTCGCGGTGTTGAGTGCAGCCTTGACGACGGTCAGGCGGCGGCTGCCGGATGAACAGTGGGCTAACGGTGATTTGAATTTGATTTGTAGGGCTTCCCTTTGAGAATTTGATAGTCTATTGGGTCTTAATTGCAATTTTTTTAAAAGTTTAATTTATTCCAATTTAGTTCATTTCAGTTTTTAGGTAAAATGTGTAATTTACTAAAAATTCTTCATACTTGAAAAATTTGATAATTGCACAGTACGGTTCACTAGATTGCACTTTACAATTCAACACATTGCACATTACTATTCAGTGCATTGCATAAAGAAATAACAATTAATTTATATAATAGTGTGTGTCTGTATGTATATTAAAAACAACAAAAAATTACAAAAATATCAACGAGCTACAAAATGTAAAATGTTTTTCATTCTTTGTTTCGGTTGAACCGGCTAGCCAAAATGTTAAAATTAAAATAATCGAGTCGAACTTTTGAAAAAGTTAAATCGAATAGAAGTACTTGGTTTATTTCGGGCGGTTAGCCATATTAACAAAAAATATTTAAATTAAATTATACGTTATGTTATAAGAAAAATATTGTTTAAAACGTTAATAATTTTATTTATTATTTTTATATAATTTTTGGTTGAAAAATTTTTAAGTTCAGTTTCGATCTCTGATAATCAAAAGTGCAGTTGTGTTGTTTTGTAAAGTTTTGTTCTCTGTCTTGTCCAAACGCATGTACACTAACAGACACAGGCCAGCACAATAGCATTCAAGGAGCCGTTTAACTTTATTCAACACATAATAAATCTCACAAGTGCCTTGCTTTCTCTCTCTCAAAAGCCCTCTCCATTTCTTCCTACCTCTAGGAAATCATACATATTTTTCAGGGCACCTGCAGAAAGAACAATAAACACACCCTCCTCCAACTGCCAACGTGGTAGGCATAGTGAAGTACGCGCCCATTAACGGCGGCGCGTTGTTCCTAGACGTCAAAACCCACTTCTCAATCACCAGAGCCAGAAGAACTGTAACCGTCGCCTACGCCTTCGTCTCCATCTTCACGGCCTTCACCATTTTTCTCGCCTTCATCCCTTACGCAAACCCCTCTTCTCCATTGTTCACAAACATCTTTGCTCCCAACACCCCGAGGAGCAGCGGTATTGCAAATTCGAACCCTTACCCCTCGATTTCTTCTGATGAGTCCTACAGATCTCATTTTTCTTCAATTTATAGTTACTTTTTCCCAAATTTATCGGGACCCAGTTCGGATAATAAGCCTTCTGTTGTAAAAAACCAGACAAAGGCCGAACCTTTATTCATAAAGATGAAGTTTTGAAGCCAAAAGAACCCTCTGTAAATCAAACCGTGAAGAATAGCACAAACCCATCAAAGCCCTCAACAGAGATGAAAAATCAGGCCCAAAATAAGACGTCACAGGGCGAAAAGTCGCTTAAAGTTGGAGTCTTTAATAAGTCAAATTCAAGTGTTGCTGCAAAAGGAGAAAATGGTGTTATGGTCAAGAATGTTACTTCCTTGCCGAAAAAACAGAATAATGGCACGAATTTGGGTGTGTCCAAAAAGGGATGTGATGATCTGATTAAGTCTCTGATGAAGTGTGATCTGTTTGATGGGAATTGGGTGAGAGATGAATCTTATCCACTGTACAAGCCTGGTTCTTGTTCTCTGATTGACGAGCAATTTGATTGTTTCTTTAATGGTAGGCCCGATAATGGCTATTACAAACAGAAGTGGAAGCCAAAGGGTTGCACTCTCCCAAGGTATGATGAACCGGGCTGAATTTTATTTTTTTTTTATTTTGTTTTATTAGTAGAATTTAGGTTACAATATTTATTGACTATTAAAATGTATTTATAGTAGCTTGGTTTCAGTAGTTAATGAGTTATTTGTTAGGTTGGTTGCTTGGAATTGATGAATCAGCATGTGCAGGCATTCATTTCAAGGAGACAGTTGAGGTGATTTACCAGTTAAAAATTGACTTGCAATTTTGAATTTTAAGGTTATTTTGGATGTCATCCTATCATCAAGTGACAGGGTGCAGAAATTGAGTGTAAATTTTGTTGTTCAGTTTTGTATTCTAAACATTCTCATGAGGCAAATCAATTTACTAATATTAGTAAACATTAACATTAACATTGTTGATGTTTTGTTATTGTAATCTTATCATTTATGTTAAACAACCATTTTAATTTTGTTGATGTTGCTTTTATTTTCAGGTTAGATGGAGGTCATTTGTTGGAGTTACTGAGAGGAAAGAGATTAGTTTTCGTGGGTGATTCTTTGAACAGAAATATGTGGGAATCTCTTGTTTGCATCCTCAGGAACTCTGTGAAAGATAAGAAGAAAGTTTACGAAGAAAATGGCCGGCACAGTTTTCGTGGAGAGGTTTCTTATTCCTTTGTCTTTGAAGTAAGTATATATAACTGTCTTAATTGATAAATAAATCTACTAGTCTTGTAAAATTATAAAATCATTCCCGATGCGCAATTCTGCTAGCTACGCAAATTGCAGCCTGAAAATCTTGAGGCGTACTTGTGATTTACTGATTTGAGAGAGAAATGAAATTTTTGATAAACTTATCTGAATTTTCCATTGTTCAATCTTCTAAGCTCTGTGTAATCGTTATAGGACTATAAGTGCATGGTGGAATTTTCGTTGACTCTGTTTTTGGTTCAAGAATGGGAAGTAACTGGAAAAAATGGGACAAAAAAGGAAACACTAAGACTCGATTTTGGTCAGCCAATCGGCCGATAAATATAAAAATGTGGACATCATCGTTTACAATACAGGCCACTGGTGGACTCATGAGAAGACTTCTTTAGGGTAACAATGTCTTTTACTTTATATTTTCGACCATGCACATTATTTTGATTGCTAAGTATTTTGATAAATGCTAAAATAGTTATTTGAATTTTTTTGTAGGAAGGACTATTATCAAGAGGGCAGCCACATATACAGTGACTTGAATGTTCTGGAAGCTTTCCGGAAGGCTACAACGACATGGGCAAGATGGATAGACGGTAATGTCAATCCAAATAAGTCGCTCGTTTTCTTCAGAGGCTACTCTGCATCTCATTTCAGGTACTAAGATGTTATATTGCAATAAGTGATTATTTTATTTTACCGTTGGAGAAAAACAATAAAAAAGGTTATCGATTTATGGGGGGAAAAAGTTATTCTCAACTCGAACTTTTAATTTTACAGCGGTGGATAATGGAACTCAGGCGGGCAATGTGACCACGAAATGGAGCCCATAAAGAAGTGGACATATCTCGCATCATATCCTCCAAAAATGACCGTTTTGGAGAAAGTCATAAGAAACATGAAAACCCGTGTGAGTTGTGACCTATCTATCTAAACGTCATGCGCATGACTGACATCAATTTATCGGAAGCAAAATTACACCGATGAGGAAGGAGATCGCCATTGAGTTTTCAAGACTGTAGTCATTGGTGCCTTCCGGGCATGCCTGATGCGTGGAATGAAATCCTATACGCAGAGATATTGGTGAGACTGAACCAGAAGCAGCAAGAGACAAAAAATCGTAGGTAAATAATATATATATATATATATATATATATACATTTTTCGACTTTCTTGGCTGGCTGTCGGATTAGCACATCCATGGTGTAATTTGAGGCCATNGTAGGTTGAAATGCAGATTATGGTTGCTATATAGATTTGTGATTTTGATTCAGCCTTCAAATGAATTCAGTTCGTTGAAGAATCACAAGGACTTTACCACCGTACGATTCACACACACCCGTGTAGGCAGGAGTGTTGATCGTGTGGTGATAAAGTGCCGACAGGGGCAAGATCAATTTTTCCTGTTCTTGCCACATGCTATAAAAGCCTCAAGCTGTGATCAACGGTGATGATGTAATCCCCTATCATCTGTCAAATTAATAACTCTTTAAGTCAAGTTTCAAGGTCTCACATGGGATATGCAAATAATTCATTTGTAATTAATATCAAACCGTCAGTGCCTAGCATTATTACTCCTAAACTTGTGGCTTGTCACAGCAATCAAATTTTGTTTGCTTTTCTTAAATTTATATAATTATGTGTACCACCCTTATTCAAATTTTTTCATCATTTAAAAAAAATGTGTACAAAAGAAGAATAATGTCAACCGAAATTAGGCCCCGAATGGCTCCCTTTATGCTTATATACTCAAACTACCTTGTTTTCTCCGCAAATTCTTTGTATGGGTGTGAAATCTTCACATAGAATTACAAACTACAAAGTACCAAAGTGGACCATAAATTGAGAAACTCTGCAATTGTATATTGGGAAATGGATAACCATATTTTGTAATGGGCTGGACCGAGCTGGAAGCTGAGACCAAAATTTCAAGTGAATTTAATTACTTTGGCCCAAATTATAAAAGCCCAAGAATCATTTCAATATTTACTTTTAATAATTAGGGCTGAGCAAAATCGAGCCTAAACCGAAAAATCGAGCCAAACCGATGGATTCGGTTCGGTTCAGTTCCATTTATGGAAAGGTCGGTTTGCGGTGCGGTTAAGAAATTGAAAAACCGTAGAAGTTTCGGTGCGGTTAGGTTTTATATCTAAATGGTGCGGTTTTAACCGAATCGCACCGAATGGCTTAAGCATTTTATTCCACTAAGTCTGACCACGCTTTCAAAAATCAATTACCCCACCTAACCAGCACTTTCTAATTTTTTTTACATTACAATTAAAAAATTCTGTACCCCAAACCAAATTTTTTAGAATTCACTCGCCTCTCTCACCTTTCACTCTCGTCTCGTCTCTCACCCGACCACCACCGGCTGCTCTAAGCTTTTCCAATCACCGGCATCCGACGCTCATCCGTTGTCCACGGGCCTCCGCCGTCATTAATTTGTGTAAGCTCTAGCTCTCTCACTCACTTTCAAATTGAAAGTTTCAACCCTTAATCGAGTACTGTTATTCCGTTTTTGTTTTATGGCTTTGACTTTGGTTGTGAGGCTGTGAAGATGCAATGCTTTTGTGGAATCTAATTGCATGAGATCCATTTTTAATTGTTTTTTTTGTCTCTGAGTTATGTAAGTAAAAATTCCAATTTTTGTTTCTTTTGGATGCTGATTATGTTCTTTGGACACCTGAGCTTGCTTACTGCATATACATCATGTTTCTTTTTCTTTTTTTTTTTTCTGTTTTNCCGATTTGAAAATTTTGGTGCGGTTTTGGTTTGGTCTTTTCTCCAAATTCGGTGCAGTTCGATTTGGACATTTTAACATTTTTGGTTTTCGGTTTTTGGCGGTTTGGTGCGGTTTTTATTAGTTTTGAATTGTATTTTATTTATTTATCCCTCCTTTATAAATAGTTTTAAAAAAAATTCAAAAGTGTAATCAACCAATGAAAATGTTTGGTGACAACGGTTTCAAATTTGCTCGGCTGGACCCCATGCAGTCCGTGTCCCAAGCCCGAGTCTCTTCCATCTGATTCGCTAATTCTCTCTTGATAAAAGTTTTCTTTTTTTAAAAAAAATCCGCACTTCCTCAACCTTTTTGACAATTCCTACACGTTTCATAGATTCTCCATTCAAACTGTACTGCGCATCTTTCTCCTTCCTTTCCTCTGCCTCGTTTGCAGTCCCCTGTAACTTAGATTACCTAATTTATTTATATTTTGATTTGATTAAAAGGGTCTTTTCTCGTCCTCTTTTGCAGTTGCCTGCAACGATTTCCCAGAAAGAAAAATTGGTTGCGGAAAGGAAAAAAAAAGTTGCGATTCTTATCCAGCGAACAATGTCAAGATTTGGTCTTTTTGTTTGTTGTTGTGTTTTGGTATTGATTTGGTATAGAGGGTGTGTGGTTGAAAGCCTGGGCGTGAATTGGGGTACGATGGCGAGCCACAAGTTGCCGCCCAAGGTAGTGGTGCAGATGCTGAAAGACAACGAAATAAAGAAGGTGAAGCTTTTCGATGCTGAGCAGTCAACGATGAGCGCATTGGCCGGCACCGACATTGAAGTTATGGTTGCGATCCCTAATGACCAGCTGTCTGTTATGGGGAGTTACGACCGAGCTAAGGAATGGGTCAGGCGCAATGTCACCCGCTACAATTTCAATGGCGGTGTCAATATCAAGTACAACTTACCCTTTCTTTTTCTCTATTTATTCATGAATCTGTCCCTTTTATTAGAATTTAATCTGGTTTTAAAAATTCCATTTTTAAGAGGGTTGTTTGGGATAATGTTTGGTCTGTGCTTTAGCAGAGCTTCATTGGGTTTGTAAGATTTGATTGTAATATAATATCTCTTAGTCTGGGATATTGATTCTGATCAGCTGAAAAGATTATGACTAACTTTTAAATATTCATCTGTGTTTACATCATTTTTCCAAATAAAGGATCTTGCTGGCTCTAGTGTTTTTTGTCATGTTAAGTCAATGGTTGAAACAAGTTGGTATTTGAAAACTGACATGGAGTCAAATGATTTAAAATGTAAATTGTCTTACCGTTTTCCTTCACAAAATAGTTTGAACTGTACTAATAATCCAACTTAGTCATAGCTATGCATCAGATTCTAAACATACACCTACTCAGAGTCAGAGTCAGAGAAGAGTGGACACAAATTTACTTTAACATTTGTCTTCTTTTAATATTACAAGTTTGCTTTAACCCTTTTTCTGAAACTGGTGAATCTGATTCCGGAATTGATCCCCAATTGAAATGGAGTAAAGGAGGTGTTGGGTTGGGTTGAGTTTAGCTGCTAAAAAAAACATACATGTATATATATCTATATATATATGTTTGCTCTGCGTGTGTGTTTATCGAATAGTGGAACAATATGACAAACTTGATGAAATGCCCTTTCCAATTCAATAATGTACGTTTTCTTCGCGCCACTTTTTTTGAGTTTCCATGGATGAGTGTTTGAGATGGATTTAACACAATTTACTCACTGTTTCAAAACTGTGGCTGGGCAGATATGTGGCTGTAGGGAATGAGCCTTTCCTCACATCCTACAACAACTCGTTCGTAAACACGACTTTCCCAGCTCTTCAAAACATTCAGAACGCCATAAACGAAGCTGGGTTTGGGGACACCATCAAAGCAACTGTGCCCTTGAATGCCGATGTTTACGGTTCACCCGCAGGCAACAGTGCCCCGTCTGCCGGCCGATTCCGAGCCGACATCTTACCTCAGATGAACCAAATCGTCGACTTTCTGCACCGAAACAACGCCCCCTTCACCGTCAACATATACCCTTTCCTCAGCCTCTACGGTAACGAGCACTTCCCGATCGACTATGCCTTCTTTGATGGGGGCAGTACCCCCATTGTCGACGGTGATATTCAATACACCAATGTCTTTGATGCCAATTTCGACACATTGGTCTCATCCCTAAGGGCGCTCGGTTATGGTGATATGCCCATAATCGTAGGGGAGGTCGGATGGCCAACAAACGGAGATATAAATGCCAATATTAACTATGCATTACGATTCTACAGAGGGCTTTTGCCGAGGCTTGCGGGCAATAGGGGGACCCCTCTTCGACCGGGTTACATTGAGGTTTACCTTTTTGGGCTTCTTGACGAGGACATAAAGAGCATAGACCCGGGTAATTTCGAGCGGCACTGGGGAATCTTCAGATATGACGGACAACCCAAGTTCCCGATGGACTTGAGCGGACGGCAAACAGATAACTATCTTGTGGGTGCTCAGAACGTAGAGTATCTTCCCAGCAGATGGTGCATGCTTAGACCGGATGCTGACCAGACGAGACTTGCGGAAAATATTAATTTTGCGTGTTCGCGTGCCGACTGTACTGCGCTCGGCTACGGTTCTTCGTGCAATGGGTTGGATACTAATGGGAATGCATCGTACGCATTTAACATGTATTTTCAGGTGCAGAGTCAGAGAGATATGAGCTGCAACTTCCAGGGACTGGCAATGGTAACTCAACAGAATATATCACAACTCAACTGCAATTTCACAATTCAGATAGCAACCTCATCAGCTTCTTCACATGTCATTGCTGTGCCGTTTTTAATTTTAGGGGCCTTCACGTTTCTATGTTTAGAGATGTCTTTTTCTTATTAATAATGAATACAGAATACCTCACCTCATTCATGTGAGCTTCTATTTTTAACATTGATTGATTTCAGTTATTGTTATTTTTGTGGGTATTATCGACTTGAATTCAATTTATAGTATTTCTGTAATTTTGTTCAGTTTATATGTTCGTGTAAGTGCAGAATTACACTCGTTAGCATTGGTAATAAAAAAAAAGGATTTGGCCCGAAATTTGTTGCATTGATCGATGTGAATTGATATTGAGAAATGTGGTTAGCTGTTGATTGAGATCCAACAGCAGAACAGAAATCCGAAACAGTAACAACAACAAACCAGTGGACAAGGCAGGTTCGGAGAAGAAGCAAGTGAGGAGAGCCACGATTATTTGATTTTCCTCCCTATTCAATCTCATTTTTGGCTGAAACCCAGATGGCCTAATCGCTGCTCAGGAAATACTCTGGCACTTCACCCTATGCGGCAACTGGGAACTGCCGAGCGGCTGAGGTTCAAGGTAAGAAATGTGCAGACGTGGGTGAGCCACCCTGACCAATGAGGACACGTGCACCGATGGGTATAGACGATTGCCCGATGATGGTGGATCAAGACAGAGACGGAGAAGCGAGAGCAAGCGATTTTCGTCAGCTCGAAGAAAAAGCTGGCCTAATACCCGAATTTCACCTTCTCCAAGTCTTTTGATTTTAGGTGTGCTAATCTAATATTTTTTTCAGGCGAGTTGATGCCCAGCCTCACCTTCCACCTCCTATGTCCGCTCGCCCTGCTGTTGTTTGCTTGGTGCCTACATCGATTGCCAAAAGGTTTTTTTAGGGAATAATGGTTTTTCTTTGAGGATTTTCGTTTTATTTCTGTGCCGTTAAATTTCGCCTGAAATTATTGGTAGGTGTACGTGATGTGCGTGTTGTGTCTGGTTTTCAGGTCGGAGCTCCGCCGGAGATAGCGTTTTTGCTGGACGAAATCTGGCGAGAGAAAGACGCAAGGCGATGCAGTTTCGACGTGCTTAGGGGTCGATCACATTTCGTCAGCAATTTTATGGTCTCTCTCTCTCTCTCACACACACACACAAACATGCACTCTCACGCACTTTCAGTTCTTTTACCTCGTTGTTTTCCAGATAATATTAACACCGAATTAGAAACCATAGAGAGAGCTGCTGTTGTGTATATATATCGATAAATAGTTGTGTTTCATTTTGTATCGTTTTGACTTTATTGTCCATCAAGATTCTACATTCTTTAAGGGAGAAGCATGGGGAATATATGTTGAGGGAGCTTGTGAAATGATTGCAGAATCATTAAGTCAGGGTGCGGTGACTTTCAAGATTCTTTCATTATCTTAATACAAAGAAAGGGGTTAGAAAGATTCGTGCAGCTTTGATGTCTAGGCTCTCTTTTTCCTGTCCTAATTGGTTTATGAAAAGCTTAGGATGATATTGGGTTTTGTTAATCCATTGGTGGTGATCTTGTTACCGAGCCTTCCCATAGAAAAATTTAGTTTGCTGAATGATACTGTGGTTCAGGTCATAGCCCTTAAAAGCGATCTAAAATAATTGAGGAAAAGAAAAGGAAGTGGGAAAAATATATTTGAACGCCGCCTTTTTATTAATTATGTGAATAATTATAGCTGAAATGAAATGAATTACTCGTGACCTTGTTTTGTAGTCCGTTAAACTTGGTTAAGTTATGAAGAGATTAATAATTTAGGAATACGGGAAAGTATGGTGATTACTATAAATGTAACATAAACTTTATTTGAGAATGAAACTCTTTTCAAAGGTCTTAATTAGTTTTTTCAGTAGTATATCTGATTGTTGACTGATGATGTTACTATTACAGCATCAAATGTTGAGGATCAAGTTGTTTCTGGCACAAGACAACATTTGCGATTGCTGGATAGTTCATCTGACTTTGTGCTCACATATGAAGATGATGGAGACTGGATGCTTGTTGGTGATGTTCCCTGGGAGTACGTTTGTTGAATGTTTTTTATCTACTTCTATTATGAACTACATGTCCCTTTAATCAGTATAATAGATTAGTATCACAATCGTGTTTAAGGGCCAACCAGATTTTACTGCTGCTGATAACGAGTTCTCTTTATGTTATGAACTGTAGTTTGATTATTTATTTATTATGTGTCAGGCTATTTTAAAATCAGTGAGGAGACTACAAATCATGAAGACAACTGTGATAAAACTGTAAAAGTATTGTTTAGAACACGACTATATAAAATATTTTTCATCTTAGGATAGTACTTTATGTCATACTTCAGATTGGTTTTCGTTTTCATATATTTTCAGAATAAGATAAGGATTCACTTTGGCAGGTTGAGGTTCGTTATCTGGCTAGATCATTTGGTGTTCCAGGAAATCATCTCGGTCAGCAGAGCCATGGCTTTAGGTGGCCTTATGGTCTGGTTAGTCAAACACTAAAGAAAATATGGTTCAGTTCTATCATGATCAAAACTTATGCTATATTTACTATGTTCAAGTTCTTGAATACCAGTTGTTCCATCATTCTTTTTCTTGTTCTGATAGAATTTGTTGTGTGAAAAAACATTTTAGGTCACAATTATTACTCCTTTCAATTTTCCGTTAGAGATTCCAGTGCTTCAGCTCATGGGTTCTCTATATATGGGAAACAAGCCACTGCTTAAAGTTGACAGCAAGGTAACTATCTTGTGTAAATGTCCACTTCCTGACTGAAAAGAAAAGAACACAGTGATCTCATTATACAGCTCACTAACTTTCAAGTGTTAATACGTTTTGTTATTTCACTTTTAAAAGGTATGTGTAGTTATGGAACAAATGTTTCGGTTTCTCCACGAGTGTGGGCTGCCTTTGGAGGATGTTGATTTCATAAACTCTGATGGAAAAGCAATGTATAAACTTCTCTTGGAGGTTAGTTTGTTCTTCATTCCTTTCCAGTAAAAGCCATTTCACACAATACATTGGTAAATTTTGCGATCTTATGAATTTTTCATGATTACATTGTATCATCAGGCAAAACCACGCATGACTCTATTCGCCGGTAGTTCAAGAGTAGCAGAGAAATTAGTTGCCGATCTCAAAGTTCGCATCAAACTCGAAGATGTTGGATTTGACTGGAAGATTCTTAGGCCCGATGTCCATGAGGTAATTTATAGCATATTCTCTATAACAAAAACTAAAATCAAATAACCATGAACTTTTGCCTGATATCTGAAAAAGTTGGTTCTTTCTGATAATTAAATGCATGTTGTTAAGAACGTCACTTTTGTATTCTTTTCAGATATGAGCTTTCTTGGATTTAATGCACAAAACTAGCACGTATTCAAGCTCTAATAAATGGAAACTATCTTACAAATTGCTAATCAATCTAAAACTTAAGAACAGTTATGATAAATCTTAAAGAAAAATGCTACAAATACATAATAAATAAATGTATATAGAGGTGTACATAACACTCACATGTAGTAGGGTTTACTTGATTTTTTATTTTTAGCTGGACTCGCTCATTTAATGTAAGTGTTATGTACACATCTATGTACAGTATTATGTACTATAGTATTTTCTCAATCTTAAATTGGTTTAGTTTTATTTTAACATATTGACACTACTAATGTTTAAATAGAAACTAATTATGTAATGTCCACACGCAAAAAGACTTTGATTGTCCCATTACATTCCACCATTTTATTTTGTTTCTTCTTTTTTTTTTTCTTGTTTTTCCTTTGAATTGTTTGTGGCACAACAATGAGGTAAAAATAGTGTTCTAGAAGGCACTAGACGTTCGACCGGTGCCTAGTGTCTAGAACGCCTAGTCGTTTGGCTAATTTTTTCAGCCGATTTATGCAAATCGAAGGTGACCGGGCAGCGCCTAACGCCTAGGCCGATTTTTAGAACAGTGGGTAAAAGACCATATGCAACCAAACACCAATACCATATGCAACCAACCACCCATAAAAAAATAAAAGCGAATCACATGTCATATAAATTAAAGTGTATGAGACAATAAATGTCATATCTAATTTTACCTTTAGGCTTTAGCATCATTTAGTTATTATAAAGTATAAACACATATATCGGTTTTCTATTGCACGAACCACTTATCTATGATAATTATTGATAGGTAGTGATGTATATGCGGAAGCCATGATGTAAATTTTGGTATTAGCACTTAACTCCGAATCTATATATATATATATATATATAATTGCTAGCTTAACAATAAATTTTACCTAATAAATTAAATTTATTTATTTTTATCTAGATGGCAAATCATTAAATAAAATCTTATAAATAAAACCTAATAAATTTTATCTATGGGACATTAATCAATCCTATCATATTAATGCTAAAATATTTCATTAGTTTTTTTTAAGTTAATTAAGACAAAAATCGTTACATTTTATATTAATTGAATAATAAACATATTATTTATTAAAATATATAATAGTTATTATTAAAATAAGTAATTATATTCTACACTAAATGATATGTAAAAGTTACATAAATATAAAATATTATATTGCAAAAAACTTTTTGTTAAAGTTATTATTTGAGTGCAATTACCAACCACATAACATAATATATACTGCGGCGGTAGACTAAGATTACACTTTTCCGTTAAAATGCAAAGATAAAATAATAATAATAATAATAATAATAATAATAATAATAATAATAAGTATTATTGAATTATCGTTATCTTTTTTTCATTATTTATGATTTTTATTTATTTTTATTGAACAACAGTCACGTCTCATATGTTAAAACTAATACTAAACATGCTTAATGCTTAAAAATTCATATAATCACATTTTTAGTTGGATGGATAAAAAAACTATCTAAATGCATACATATACTATTAAATATTTTACTTATCGTTTACTGTATTTAACTATATGCTATTTTCTTTATCAAGGTTTGAATATTTATAAAATAATACATGAGTTTAATGGTTAAACTGAAATACACAAGACCAATTGATAAAATAAACGTTGATGATAATACTTAAAAACTAAAAAGTATCATAATGATATTTTTCAACGGATCCAATTGATAGACAATTGCTTTTTTTTCTAATAAATTTATATATCTTTAAATTTAAATATCATACTCTAAAAACAATGTAAAAATAAATAAAAATTTGACATTCAATTGTATCAATATACATTTTTATTTAAAAGTTACGGTAATATACTGTATGATAAGGTGAACATAGTGGTTTTGCTCACCCCACTCTTTTCTTTCAGGTTTGAGCTGCTGGCGTTGGCGGTGCAGGGCAAGCGAGTGGGGTTCATGGTCTTGCTTGGTATTAATTATCTGCTTCCGCATTTATTATTATCATGTATTGAATTATTTTGCTGATGGTTATAATCATGTTGCTATGAATTTGGAATTGTTGGATATGTTTGGATATTTTACTAACTCATGATGAACTTGGAGCTTAATTATGATTTGATTATCATTGAGTTATAATCCAAGTAATTTCAATCCGTACATATGCTACGTTAAGGCCATCTCCAATCAAATACACCAAACTCAAACCCATTTTGCAGTACACTTCCCATTTTGCAGTAATTTATCTCCAACCAAAAAACTCATTTTCCAACCCAAAAGAATATTCTCAGAATATTCTCTTTTACATCAACTTTCACAACTTTTCAATACTACCCACATATTTTACAACTTTACAAATTAAACCACACTATTATTTTCAACTCAATTTAGACTTTATGTAATAAAATCAGAGAAATAAATAGTCATTAAAAATATAATTTTAAAATTACAACACGCAATATAATATTAAAAATTACAACGCACAACACTATAAATTAAAAATTACAACATTAAAAATTACAACGCACAACATTATAAATTAAAAATCACAACAATCAAATAAAAATAGATAGTCTTTCAAGTCTCGGAATTGGTATATTCCTCCCACAGACGATCAATTAGTGCATTTCGAAGTGCAATGTGATCATCTTTATTTCTAATTTTTTTGTACCGAGATATGAATTCTTCAAATCGAGTGCTTTCATCTACTGCCATTTCGACCTCCGGCGGAGGCGTTTCCACTTCAGTTTCGATTGGTGCACTTAGGTCACGTTCATCATCGACAATCATGTTATGCAAAATTATGCATGTAGTCATGATATCATGTAGCACTTCTTTTTGCCAGTAACGTACTGGTCCTGCTACAATGCCAAAACGTGATTGAAGAACTCCAAATGCACGTTCAACGTCTTTTCTGCATGCTTCTTGTTTCATTGCAAAATATTTTTTTTTTTGGACCACGTGGCTCATGAATTGTTTGCACAATGGTAGACCACTTTGGATATATGCTATCAGCTAAATAATAACCCATATTGTATTTTTTTCCTTGAATTATATAATGAGCTGGAGGAGCAATACCTTAGGTTAGATCCGAGAAAAGATGAGATGATTCTAGAACGTTGATATCGTTGTTGGAGCCCGGCAAACCAAAATAAGTATGCCATATCCATAGATCATAATCTGCTACAGCTTTAAGAATGATTGTAGGCTTTCCACTACGACCAGCATATTGGCCAGCCCACGCTGTAGGACAATTTTTCCACTTCCAATGCATGCAATCTAAACTTCCCAACATTCCTGGAAAACCACGTTGTTGACCAATATATAGAAGCCTGGAAATATCATTAGATGTGGGTCTGCGCAGGTATCGCTCGCCAAATACCTCAACTGTCGCTCGACAGAACTTTTTCATACTTTCAATGGCAGTAGACTCACCAATTTTGACATACTCGTCTGTAGCATCTGCTGGAACGCCGTATGCCAACATACGAAAGATGGCAGTTATTTTTTTGTATTGGAGATAATCCAAGTCTGCCAGCTCCATCCACTCGTTGTTGAAAGTAATGAGCATGATTTTTGACTGCATCGACAATTCGAAGGAACAATGAGCGAGACATTCTGTATCTTCTATGAAACATAGTCTCGTTATACAATGGATTTTCTGAGAAATAATCATTGTATAACCTACGATCAGCAGCCTCTCGATCACGATTGATAACAATATGCCCAGGAACAGAACCTCCGTGGGAGGCTTCTTGGTTTTGTTGATTAAGAAGGTGTTGAATGATAATGTTGTTATTAGCGATAACGCGAGATATAACTGCTTGTTTTTTACGAAGAGCAGTCATAATTAGTCATAATTAGTATATGATCATCTTCAGAATCAGATGAAGAAGATGACAAATTGCCAAAATTAAAATTCATTGTAAAAATGTAGGATTGAGAAATATGATAAGATGTTTGAAGAGATTCAAATGTGTAAAGGATTTAGTATATGTCATGTTCTTATAGTAGTGAATTTGAAAGGGTGGTAAGCTTTGTAGGTAGGGGTCATTTTTAGGTTAAAACATTGATAGACGTGACAGACTTTGCAGTGGGAGGTCCTTTTCGGGTCAAAGCATTGAGAGGTGTGGGGAACACTGCAGTGATATGTCATTTTCGAGTCAGAACTTGGATAAGCATGTCACCTTTGTAGAGAGTCCACATTTCCGGGTCAAAGCATTGAGAGGTGTGGGGAACATTGCAGTGATATGTCATTTTCGAGTCAGAACTTGGAGAATCGTGTCACCTTTGCAGAGAGTCCTCATTTTCGGGTCAAAGCATTGAGAGGTGTGGGGAACATTGCAGTGATATGTCATTTTCTAGTCAGAACTTGGAGAATCGTGTCACCTTTGCAGAGAGTCCTCATTTTCGGGTCAAAGCATTGAGAGGTGTGGGGAACATTGCAGTGATATGTCATTTTCTAGTCAGAACTTGGAGAATCGTGTCACCTTTGCAGAGAGTCCTCATTTTCGGGTCAAAGCATTGAGAGGTGTGGGGAACATTGCAGTGATATGTCATTTTCGAGTCAGAACATGGTGAATCGTGATCACCTTTGCAGAGAGTGCTCATTTTTGGGTCAAAACATTGAGAGGTGTGGGGAGCATTGCAGTGATATGTCATTTTCGAGTCAGAACATGGTGAATCGTGATCACCTTTGCAGAGAGTGCTCATTTTTGGGTGAGAGACTCTTTCACTATAAAAGAAGACGTGATATTGTAGTGACTCCATCCCAACATTTATATTCTACACACTAAACATTCATCACATTTAACTTCTTGTAAGAATGTCGATCCGTTCATCTTCCTATAGCCACGACGAAGATATTCTTTTATGTCAGGTTTATATGGATATTTCTCAGGACCCAATTATTGGGGTATACCAATCATCTGACCGATTTTGGTCACGTATAGA